TTGTGGGACACTCTAGTAGGAAACTCTTGTGGGACACTCTTGTAGGACACTCTTGTGGGATACTCCTGTAGGACACTCTTGTGGGACACTCTTGTGGGACACTCTTGTAGGAAACTCTTGTGGGATACTCTTGTAGGACACTCTTGTGGGACACTCTTGTGGGACACTCCTGTAGGGCACACTCTTCGTACGAGACTTCCTCCAAAAGTCACGCTGCGAGGCTGCAAGACGAGCGTTTCGTACGAGACTTCCTCCAAAAGTCACGCGTCAAGTCTCAAAAACGAGCGTTTCGTACGAGACTTCCTCCAAAATTCACACGTCAAGTCTCCAAAACGAGCGTTTCGTACGAGACTTCCTCCAAAAGTCACATGTCAAGTCCCCAAAACGAGCGTTTCGTACGAGACTTCCTCAAAAACTCTCATGTCAAAGTCTGCAAAACGAACGTTTCGCACGAGACTTCCTCCAGCGGAAACACCCATCGGAGCACACACATCACGCAGCCCTGCCAAGCAGTTTCGCGAGTCCAGCCCCTCCAAACGACACCCGCTCACACGCCAATCCCAATGTGACAGCGACATTCACCTCTACCACAACTCACAACCTCCCGATTCCCTGCGCCTGCCACGAATCTTTCCGCGTCCACTCGTCTAACGCGCACAAAAGTACTGCGCCTGCCACGAAATGTCACCTCCGTCACACATCGCAACCTCACGATTCCCTGCGCCTGCCACGAAAATCCCACCTCCACACCTCAAAACCCGCACAAAGTCCTGCGCCTGCCACGAAAAGTAACAATGTCGTCTCATGTGAGCTTCAACAAAATTTGCACCACACCACATGTTTGGAATGATTTCGACCCGTTCTGAACACACTCCCATCCACCAAAATCGGCATTTCAGCTGAGACTTGTCACGAAAACAGAGCTTCGATGCCACACCCTGAAACGCAAATACCAATGGCACGGCCACATCCAACACCCCAAAAACACGACTCTCCAAACGCTAATCCCAATGGAACTGCACAGCAATCTGCAGATCTCACCAAACGCGGCGCCTGTGCAGCGAAACGCATCACGTTGCTTGCGCGACATGTCTTTTTCATGCAAATCACAATGGAATAGCGGCGCAAACTGACACGTGACACATCCATGAATAGTCACTTGCAAAAGCTTCCCCCAATGGCAGCGCCTTAGCGCTCTACCGCGAACGGTTGCGAACGGTTGCGGACGGTTGCGGACGGTTGCGGACGGTTGCGGACGGTTGCGAACATAGAAACAACGGGTCGCGAACAAGGCTCTACCCCCAGACCCCCAAGAGTTAAACGAGAACCCTTCGCTACGCATTCGGGAAGAACAATAGTCCAATGGTTGCACCTTTGACATTTGGATGTTGTGATCTGCTGCCCGTTGCCTCTGCAATCCATGAAACCAGGTTTTTTCATGCTGTGTCATGCTTTTCTACATGCTCAGTTACATGTCTCCAAGAATGCTTGGCCATGATCGTGCCCATTACAAAAAAGATGATATGGATCACCAGTGACCTGCACTGCTGACTTACTGAATTGTCTTGAAGAATCTTGAATATATATATACACCTCCTCAAAACGCGGCATTGTCATGCATTGGCATTGTCTAATGTGACGAAACACACGTCTTGCTGCGGAGGACTAGCCTGAGCCACCCGGTCGTTTCTACTCAAGGATCTGGGTCAAGTCTTCAACAAATTGCCGTAATAGCTCTTAGCTCTTCTGGTTGATAATCTCAAATTCATTGCAAGTAACAAGGATGGATCATTTGTGGTGGAGGATCTCCAATCAAATCCAGAGCTCAACTCGACGGGTGAGCAACATGGAAGTGGATTGATTGGTAGCCACCATTCATCCAGCCACATCCATCCACCTACATCAAACCTACCACTCATATTCAATCTGCCTGTCTTGGACCTCCGGCCCGCAAAAGGTGCGGAAAGGGCAGCGAGTAGGCGAAGAGCGTGAGAAACCTCGGACTTCCGCCACTCGCGCCCGGCCGGTCGGAGCGGTTGGAAGTGGAGCGGAACAAAAAACGCCAAACGGGGGTTCTTCTTCGTCTCCTAGTAGCTTCTTGTTCCTAGTAGTAAGGCCAGGAGCCCCTAGTAGCGTCCTTGGTCCTAGTAGCGATGCCAGGAGCCCCTAGTAGCTACCTATATAGTAGTTCTTCTTCATCTCACCCGTGGGTGGTAGGAAGTTTCAGAATCTGGAAGGCACATCAGGTGTTCTTGTTAGCGTCACGTCAATACTGCTAGTGCATGCATGTATTAAGATGTATTGAGCAAGCTCGGAAAGTGTTCCAAGTGACAAGTGTGACAAGTATCAAATAGCCTCCCTGTCGGCCACTGTTCAGAGTAATGCATGATGCACTTCACAGTTTCACACACAGAAAAACATCCGATTCATGCTGCTCGTGCACACCCGCGTTGCACGTTGAGCACACCCACCATTGAGTGGCGTAGAACTCTGCACTGATGTTAAAGCGGTTGAAGAAGGCAGAGAGGTCTGGCAAGTAGGCCTACCAGGAGAGGGATGTGCACAAGAGCACTGCTTCAACGCACTTAGTCCACCATGTGTGGAACAAAGCATCGCGATGCGACTGTTTCATTGCACTGAGACTCCGCGACATCGCGATGCGTCCCTTTCCATCTCGCGATGCGTCGCGAAACAGGCGGATCTGTGAACCAGGTTCTTTGACCGGACACCACGTGGGCGCACACAACGCGGCCGCGCACATGGCCAACTCCAAGCGGATCGTCGCGACCAGTCCAACCTGTCACGATGCACGAGGCGAGCGGAGCGGCGAGCCGCTGGTGAATTCAGCAGAACCATGGCAAATGCTCAATGTGTCGATGTCCATGGTGTTTAATGGCAATTGTGGCACAAAACCAGAAAAAAAAGGCACTGGAAGAAACCAAAACATCACCTACACTAGTGACACAGTGACGCATGGAAGACCATGCTGTGCTTAGCCTTTGTGTCTTGGCCAGTGGCAAATGCAAAGTCAAAACATGTGCTAGGGAAAACCTTGGAAATCATGCACCATCGTAACAGGCTAAAATCTCAACTCTAACCTCAAAGAACAAAAACCTACCTGCTGGGCTGCGCTGCCTCAGTTCAAAGGGATCCTCCACTTACTCCGCTTGTTCCGCAAGTCTAGCTTCAAGTTCCTGACAAAGTTTTTGGCAAACACGTTTTCTTCTGTTCCCAATGCTGGTCCCGAGTGTGATCTTGGATGGATCTGAATGTGAGAAGTGCTCAAGTTCCAGGTCCTCCCATGATCTCCAGTAGGAGATGGTAGCCAACGCCACCTGGAAGGAACAAGTCGGCTTCTTTTTGAAAACTCTACAGCAGAAACCATGCAATGCCAGTTACATCAATGCAATAGTAACTACAGTAGTAGAATTAGCAAAGCAGGATCCTTGATGATCCTTGCATCCATCCTCCCCAAAGATCCCAAGGAATGCCTGCGCAGCGCATGCGCGGTGCATGCCTTGCCTCGCAGCTCTGGGCCACAAGGACATCCGGATCTTGGAGATACTCACCTCACTGCTCTGAGGAGGTCGAGTATCTAACTGCGCAGCCCAGACCAGCTCAGCAATCAGCTCATATCAGCTCGACAGCTTAAACACTGCCATGCTCGTTTTTTGTTGCACACACATGATGGGAAGGTTCTTTTCTGCCTCGAAATGGCGAGTCTTTGGCGCAAAGCTGCAATGAGCTGAGAGACAGAAAATCGCAGCATTACATTCTACAGTGATTTTCCTTCATGTCTGGGGGTTGACGCTTCATGTCCGGCACGCTGCTGACTAGATTGAGTTCTACAAAACATGTCTGGTCCCATGATTCATCAACCCTGCATCAACACATATCAACACCAATTCCAAGTTGCTTAACATCGCCTTAAAATTTGCTCTATTCAATCAATTTCAAGTTTGAGGGCTTCAAAGCCTTTGGCCCATCATCAAACTTCACTTCCACACGATCCTCTCGAGGGCCCAACACCTAGGATGGGAGGTCCGGATGGCCACGTGCGCAGCGGCCGCTGCTCCAACGAGCAGAACTGCTGTTGGCATAGAATCGAGTCCAGCTAGCTTGCAAATAGTGGACGAAGGTCAAACGTCTGCCACTATAAAAAAACTTCAAAACATAATTAAAAGAATTCATATATTTTACGTTGCCAATTGTGTGCCCAACAAAATCTGTTGCGTAACGATGCTGCTTTCCGCTGAATCATCGAATGCCCCATGCGCCTTGCCGCGCAGGCCATTCAACTCGATCTTGGAGAGGCCGAAGGCCTCCACCATGGCGCCAATGGGGAAATCCTCCACACCTGCCAAAACGAGGCCGATACAATCATGACACACTTGTAATATGTTGTAACAATAGTCATCAATAGTCTATATTATCGTCCGGTATCATAGAAAGGGAACTGCTGTATGCGCTGTGTTGCACAGCTTTCTTGGCCAAGCCCATGAGGCGCACCTACGCACGTAGCACACGCTACGCCTACGGTCCTACGGTCAGTTACGCATATGAAACTCGCAAACATTCCCTGCTCTTGTAGCAAACATTGTGTCTGTCTCCCCAAGTGGGCGCCTTTCTCTGGCTCCACTTCGATAATCTTCAGATTGCTCGGCTTCAAGGCCTGATGTAGTTTGCAATGAAATGAAGTTTGACAGCGTCCCAACAAATCTAAGGAAGCAAATCATCAAAACTCAGGCTTCGTTGTAGAAGCATGTAGAAGCTTCCGATCGCTACTAGGCCAGCGCTACTCAACTCGTAGCATCTCGTAGCTTCTCACTATGGCTTTTTTGGGGCCTACCCCCCTTCGATGGGTTACACAAATCCCAGCCTTGACACCTGCTGGCTGAGGGAAGTCCACTCGAAGTCGCTCCTCTTGTGGACCAAGAACTCGACCCTCGGGTGGCAGAAAACTAGCAACGCCACGACCGAACTCGAGTCGTCCCGTCGGTGAAAACCGTCCGCGGCGCGTCGTGAAGAAACCGTCGAGGGGTCGTAGCTGAGAGAGATTCGCCACGGGGCGAATTGTGTTGAGATGGATGGCACGATGATCATGGCATAACACACCGAAATCGAGCAAGATCGGCGATCAAACCAATAACAAGAACCAGCCAGCACTATACAGCACATTACAGCACTATGCAGCACCCACACCTGAAGACCATTCATCTCTGTGGCAGACAAAGAGTGAGCTTCGACCAGCACACCGCTGGGAAACTCGTTCTGGAAGTCGAGGGCCTCACCGCTGGGACGCTCATTCACCAACACGCGCCAACAATGGTCAGCTCTTGAAAAAGGCTAAGACAACCCCCTTGAAAGGAGCCTTACTAAGAAGCCCTTACTTTTGTTTCTTGTCTTTCTTACTAAGAAACCCTGACTCTTCAGAGGTAATCCTGTATTTACCGTTTCAATTATTACAGCGATCAGTGCTTTGCACCGAAAGAAGTCGCAATTTGCAGCGATCAGTGACGTTTGGCATTTTTCGGAGGCGAACACGTCACCATGAAATCATGAAATCGGAACTTCTATTTCCAACAGAAAGCATCGGAAAGCTACGCCAACATCAGCGATAAATTATATGACAAATATCCGAGACATCCGAGTTGGGCCTGCTCTAGGAGCAGCTTCACTTCTTGTCTCCAGGGCTCAGCATAGATTGCCCAAACGTCATTGTGAGAGGCCCCTGCACCGAAATCAAAACGGATGGTCGCTAAGCTATGGGCGAAATTAAGGAATTACTATGAAGACAAAAGACATGAAAAAAGGAAGGTGAGGCCACTTTATATAATGGGACTTGCTAAACCTTCATCTTTTATTATGTGTTTTATTTTGTTTTTTTCACTCTCAACAAAATCTTCACGAAACCCAGCAATGTAAGCATCTGGCCTACCCAGCACTGTAACTTCTTCTTGGGCGTCTTTAGGCCACTGTGACATTGCACTGCTTGGCTGTAAGGAACGATCTCATCCTCGCAAGGTGCTGCTGATGCTGCTCTAAGTGTAACAAACCAAACTTGGTTGGCAAGGCATAATATATTTCATTGGCCCACAAAAGCTGTTGCAACAATCTGAAAGATGCCTCCCTCCGTTAAATAGATTGCAATGTTGACACTGCCACCAACTCTCAACACGACCACTACTGCTGATGCTGCTACTATTGTATATACAGCTATATATTCCCGGCTCATCAAATTCCTTTTACGGTGCGGAAGAATTCTGAACTATTCCCCAAATTAGCCATACTTTTGGTTCCAGGATGTTCCAGGTGTTGCATTTCTTCTCTGCCATCGACATACAATGAATGTAAGCCATCCTTGCAAGGAATTAACAAAAATGCATACTTATGCATACAAATTCAAGAGGACAGCAACTGGAAGTGAAAAGGCAATCCTACTAAAATATCTAGAACTTCTGTTAATCTTTGCCTTGTTTTTGGTGCCAAGACCTTCTGACCTGCATCTTGTTGCTGTCCCAACTAGATGAAGGCGCAATGCCTTTATGTCTGATGTCGTGCCTTTGAAGTCTTGGCGACCAGGGTCAATATGTTTTGTTTGGCGGTCTCTCACGACCCAAATGCAACAGCCAATCAAGCCACACATAGCATGACAGCTTAGCATGACTTGGCCAATACAAAGTCCTGTGCACCCATACCCATACCTTCCTGCTGGCCTAACTATGCTTCAACACCACCCTTGAAAGTTTCTGCCAACTCCATCCTTGTCGCCGTGCATGACCAGTGCAGGACAGCCAACAGCTGGAAGTTTGCCAAGGGTGTCGAAAGGCTCTGCCAGCTTCTGAAACATTTCAGGTTGGCTCTGGAAAACCATTGGACCGAGCCTGAAACTTTTGTGAATGGCGCCCTGAGCACATATCGAGTTTGGTTCAAAACCTCAACAAAATAAACTTGAAAAGGGGAAAACCAACACGTTTGAGCTCTGTCAAGCTGCATCTGCACCGTGGGCAACTGCTTGATGGACATTAGCCCAGAATCGACCTGTCCGAACAAATGAAAGCTTACGCACATAAAACTGGCTGATATATATATATATATATAACTATATATGTAGAGAGAAGTGAGAGAGAAAGGGACAAAGAGACATGTGAAGTATCAGTAGTCTGACTAAACGGGCATCCCAAAAAACCACGAAGTGTTTTTGACACAAAGTTCATCAAAGTTCTTTGTTCATTTGTTCAGCACAACAAATTATCAACCACAAATGATCAAACAAGGCAAACCGATGTCCTTCTTCGTCCTCCTTGCCTTTAGCAGCCTAGCAATACTGAAAGCAACCCAGATTCAAAGGTTTTTGGTAGTAAGGAAATGGAAGAAAGTATTGTGCAGAATTCCAAACAGTGATGATTTGTCTGCCCCTCGCTTGAGACAACGAGTTTTAAACATTAGAAACACACATATGTATATATATACACATTTATTACCTAATGTATATATATACCTAATGTATATATATATAATTGCTCTCTCTATATATTATAT